CTTGACTTCAAGCTGCTGACGGCTGGGGAGCGCGACACGGGCCGCCAGCGCACGAGCACATCTCGCCGGCGGGTGTACCCGAACGAGACGGCAACGCACCACGCGCGCACGATCAAGGCGGTGCTCAACGCAAAGGACGATAGCACGCTGTACCACTTGACGGATGAAGTGCGCGCATACATCCACGACCTCACTGACGCGAGCAACTGGGTCACCCCTGGCTGGCACCCCATCGAGTACGTGATGAAGAAGAGGGAATGAGATATGGGGTTGGGAGGCAACTGGAAGGAAAGGGCGCGTGTAACTTGAGCCTGGCATCCTCGCATTGTCTCATGTGCGATACCTTTCATCCTTCCGCACTTACACGCACCCTCGCACGTACACACGCACCCTCGCCATCACACTCACACACACTCGCACACACACTCACACTTACACAGCACTGCGAAGAACGACATTGTGGATGTGCTGGTTGACCTTGCGCGCTACGAGTACTCGCATGTGCTCACGTCGGCCATGCGTCTCACCCATCGCCTCTTCTCGTCTCGCGACGATCTCTTTGGCGACGCCATCCAGGCCCAGTTCCTCCTCACAGACGGTGCGGCCTTGTGATGTGGTTGTGGTGGTAGTGGTGGTAGTGGTCGTGGTTGTACCGGTGGTCGTTTTGGGCGAGCGCAAGCGCCACGTGCCATGTCGTTGTCATCACCGCACCCTGTCAGTGCGTGTCAGTGCGTGAATGCTGTGAATGCTTTTTCTTTACGCACATCTCACACACCCACGTTTGCTTGAATCGATGGGTGTCTGGGGTTGCAGACTCGAAGGATTTGGCCAAGAAGCTGGGCATCTACCTGCCGCAGCTGCGTCGTCTCACAAAGGGATATGTCGAGGCCTGTGAGACAGAGTGAGCTCTTGTGCAAGAGGCGAGAGGGCGAGCGCGTGTACTTGGAGAGAGAATGTGTGTGTGAGAGAGCAAATGTGCGTGTTTTGTGGCGTTGCACGCAAGCCAGTGAACGCAACTGACTTGTTGTCTCTCTGCGCGCCGACATGATTTTGCTGCGTGTTTGCAGGGACTATCTGTCGATTGTGACGGCGCTGGAGAAAAAGTGCTACGTGGAGCCCGAGAACCCGCAGTACAGCCATCCGCACGACATCAACCAGGGAATCATCTTCAACTCGGGCATCCTCGACATCCTCTTTGACGTCCTCAGCAAGGTGGCGTTCGTTTTGCTGCTGCTGCTGCTCTTGTCGTTCGTTTGTTTGTTTGTTTATGTGTGTGTGTCTGTGTGTGTGTGTCTGTGTGTGTCTGTGTGTGTTTGTGTGTTTGTGCTGTTGTTTGCTCTTGCCTCCTGCACACGTCGTGCCGGCTTGTTTCCTCGGTGCTCACCATGTCCCGTCAACTCATCCCCCTCCCCCGCCCTACAACGAACTGCGGAACAGAACGGACAAGCCACGGAAGTGCTGTGTGCGACATTCCGTCTCCTGCGCGCGATGGCGCTGAAGAACCCGCCAGTGCAGCAGGTGCGATGCTGAGTGCCGTTGCATACAACAACCTGCGTGCTCCAATGCATGTTGCATGATCGTAACGATATACCCTTTGTCCATTGTTGCGCTTGTCACACTCACCTGCCATGCCTTGCCATGCCATGCCATGCCATGCATTCAAACACACAACACAACACAACACAACACAACACAACACAACACAACTGCAGATGCTGTTTGACAACATGGGCTTGATGATGAACCATTCGCGCACGGAGGGATGGCACGACGATATGGCGTACGCCCTCACAGAAGCGTTCACCCAGAACAAGACACTCTGCCTCAGCGTCCGCAGCGAGGTGCTGGTCGTGTTTGCGATGACCTGCTCTTGTGATACATGTTGTATGCCCTTGTCTTTTCCCCCTTGTCTACATCTTCCAACCCCTCCCATCGTACGCAATGGCAACTCCGTGCTCACACCATCGTCCACGCGTATCTCTGCATGCAGCATCTTGAGCAAATCATGGAGCTGCTGCGCGACCACACGTGCGAGGCGCCGAATCTGCTGGCCCTCCTCGCCGCCGTCGTCAAGGCCGAAGAGCTCGACCTCCCGCTCAAGCGCAACCAGGTGGGTGTCTGGGTGGGTGTGGGTGTGGGTTTGTGTGTGCATGTGTGTGTATGTGTGCATGCGTGTGTGCATGTGTGTGTGCGCGACAGTCTGCTGCTGATGTTTGGCCGGGGGGGGGGGGGTGTGCACTTCACTCATGCCGACTTTGTCGTGCACCATGTTTCCGTGTGTCTTTCCCCCTTTTGTCACAGGACATGATTGTGCGGTTCTTGATGGAGTACCGAGACATCATCATCACCCCCGCATACATTGGTATGGTTACGTGATCTTCAAAGCGCGTGTGCTTGTCTCAAATGAAACATTTTCCAGTTCTCTTCCGCCTTGACTTGCTATTTACACGCACACACACGTACACCCCCCTTACTCACACATACGCACTCACGCTTGTGGCAGATGACGAGTCGAGTGCAGAGATCAACGAGAAGCGCCTCGCTCTTCTGCGCGAGGAATTCCCGGTGTGTGTGCGTGTGCGTGTGCGTGTGTGTGTGTGTGTGTGTGAGTGTGTGTGTATACGTGTGTGTTTCCTGCCATAGTGGATGAAAAGACGTGCCTCTGCCTTGCTTTTAACGGGGGTGTCAGCCCACAAAACATTGAGCTCACACGCTTCACCCTCTCCCAATGCACGCCGGCTCTGTTCACTGTTTCTGCCAATGCCAGAGCGCGGACGAGCTGAAACTGCGTACATATCACTGCAACATTGTGCGGCTGCTGGCGGGCTGTGCAGAGGGCGAGAACAAGTACATTGAAAGCATGTGCCAGACCATCTTCTCCATTGAGGAAATCCTCCAAGTTCTCGAGGTGCGTGCCGCTTGTCTGTCTACCGATCTCATTTTGCCTTTGTTCTGTCTCTCTGTCCGTCTTCGCACTGTCACACTGTTTTACCTGTCCACGCCGCTGCCTCTTGTTGCTATCTGTGTATCCACGCATCTGCCTCTTCGTGTGCTGGTCTCCTCCCGCACCCTCTCGCTTGCCCCTCCATCGCTTTGCACCACTCATACTCCCACTCATACTTCAACTTACACCACTGCGTGAATGCCTGTGAGCAGGATGACCTGATTGACCCGCTGTTCAAGGGCCCGTACATGGAATTCCTCCTCTGGGTACGATTGCACGCGCGCACCGCAGGTCATGTGCTGCTGTGGGGCACCACGCGGGCGTGGTCCCATCAAGAGAGAGGGAGAAGAGGAGGTTCTGTAAACGCCGTCAAACCACTCGCACACCTGCGCTCACATTACACACCCGCAATCACTCACCTGTTGACACTGTTTTTGTTTTTTACACATGTACACATACGCACACACACGCGCACGCCACATGATGCTCTTGCGGTGCGCCAGGTGTATCTGAACACGGGCGAAGCGAGCGAGGAGCTGCTGGAGGCGCGACTGGAGACAGAACTCCGCCTGTGGGACAGCATGAAGCGCATCGTACGTGCGTGTGTGTGTGTGTGTGTGTGTGTGTGTGTGTGTGTGTGTGTGTGTGTGTGTGTGCGTGTGTGTGTGTGCGTGTGTGTGGCGGGATTGCATGGCTGTGATACGCGGACTTGTGCGGTCGTCGTCTTATGTTTGGGTGCCAGGAGCGAGGACCAACAGCACTGCTTTTCGCGCGTGTTCACCAGTGGTTGTGGCGGATTGTCTGATTTGCCGTTGTGTGTGTATTTCCGCGTTAGGGCACGGAGAGCTCGTTCCTGAAGAGCGATACGCCGCGGTCAGAGGAGCTTGCGTTTATGCTGGACAGCTACGTGCCCCTTCTATCAAAGGTCGTGTGCCTGCAGGCATCAGAGACACTCAGTGACGCATGCATGCTTGCAGTGATGAAGAAGCTCTGGTTTTGCACGGCTCACCTTTCTCAACCTCAGCAATCAGCTGACGACAAACCTTATGCCTGTGGTCACTTCGCCCTTTGTGTACGCGTGCGTGCGTGTGTGCGTGCGTGCATGTGCAGTTGGTGAAGGACTTCTTCGTGAAGGAGGCGAGCCCTGCCGTGCGCCGCTGCGTCGGTGTCATGGCAAAAGCAATGGCCGATTTCGGCATGAAAGCCCTCAGCATTGTGAGTGTTGCGGCAGTTGCCACTGCTGCCTGTGTTTCTGCGGTTATTTGCGTGTTGCGCTGTCCTCGTCTTGTTTTTGAATATGTTTTTCGATCCGAACCAACCATCCCCACCACTGACATCAACTGGACCTTGTTCCACCCGCTCCACGACCAACCCTCCTTCGTCTTCCTGATTCTCATGTTGTGATTGCGACAGGTCGGCGACCGCAGTCTTGTCAAACGCGTCGCCACGTGCATCATGCTCCTCGCCTCAAAGTCACCCGGCCACGTGCGTTGTTGCGACAGTGGTGATTCGGAGCGCATGCGTGCGTGTGCGTCTGTGCATGTGCATGAGTATGTTGGTTTCGCGTGACGCTCTTCTTTTGTGCTTCGTGCGTCCTCATGATCCATCAACGCCACACATACGTACACACACACACATACGTACACACACACACACGTTCACACATGTACCCACACGCAACAGGTGACGCAAGATACGCTGGACACGCTCGGCGCGCGCCTGACTGCGCAGGAGGCCGGCATTGTGGATCTTCCTGTTGTGCAGCGCTACTACGAGTACTACCTTGACGAGATCCAAGTCAACACGGAGTTCAACGAGTTTGCACGCCGCCTCCGCCTGGCATACGGCGGTGCGTCATATCTGTGTGGGTGTGTCTGTGTGTGTGTCTGTGTGTATGCGTGTTTTAGAGAGTGTGCGTGTGTATTTTGTTATTTATTGAGTCGCTTCAACACTCATTTACTTACCCCTCATGCCTCCACCTCCACCCCCGCCTCCCGATCAAATTGCGTCATGGCGCCGTTGTGCTGTGCACAGGTGCCAACACGATGCGACGGCA